CTACACTGCAAATGGAGCCGCACACAGCGGCTGCAGCTTGGTTCCGCTCGATCACACCGAGTCTTGCTGTCTTTGCAAACGACACAAGCGAGACGACCATTTGGTGCTGCGACGCGCGTCTTCCGTCCTCGACCAGCAGCTTTCATCTCGGGGGAAATAATATACCTAATATTTGCTCAACGAGCTTCGAATATATATACATATAATTAATTCAAGTGAGAATCAATTGCAGAAATGAAGCAATTGAGTAGGAGTGACTTTAAGGGAGCATTGTCATCACCCAGTGGAACTTCCAATGGTGGACGACTTACAACTACATGGCTTTGTGGCGGTGCCATAGTGGCTGACATAAAAAGGGGCAGGCTGAGATAAGGTACATATGTACCTTAGGTAATCTTCAATTGCTTGTACCCGCACTACCTACATAGTAGGTACCTACTGTCATAGGTCATTTAAAAACATAAAATAAGGGCCAAGGTACCTAGTATTAAGCAGAGAGAAACTATTGCTTACGGGGTACTCGGTTACCTTCCTGCTACCTAGGTACGTACCTACATAGGAGCTTGGTGGGGTTATGTACACAGAAGCATAGTCAGGGTCTCAGAGAGAGTACCTAGGTACATACTGTCGATAGTCCTGGCAACCCTTCACAACAAACTCAGGCGGGAGATTATCAACAATATTTGCAATTATTTATTTTTCACACACAAATGTCACAAGATACATTTAGTTGGGTGGTAATGAGTGGCACTTTGAGTGCATGTGTATTGGTTTGATATAGTGATGTGGTATAGTGATGAAGTCCCCTAATATCCAATTCCAATCCATTCCCTCTATCCCAGTAAATCCCATTTCCATTTATCCAAGCCCTAACTTCCAAAATACCTATTCCCATTGTTTATCCTCCAATATTGTCTTCCTAGCCTTGTCATGCGACCCTTGCTTTCTGCCTTTGATGATATTGCTATGTGATATAGGTTGGTATATGTGTGTGTGGTAAGAGATGCATCTCATGATTGACCTCGATATTGGCTATTCTGGTAAAATAAAAAGTTAGTTGGAAGTGTAGATAAAAAAATTATATAGGAGATTTATCTACCTTTGATGAACCTCTCGAGGGTTGTTTATCCATTTTATGTGGGGGGTTTTTTTTTTGTTCAGGTACTTTGTAGTAGCTAGGTAGGCAGGGTCTAGAGGACTTGTAAATGTGAGCAAGGCCGAGTAAAAAAGTAGAAGAGAAGAGTAAACAAACCAGGCAGATTCTATGAGCATCACGATATTCCGTAGCAGCTGACCAGTAGTAGTGACAAGCTTACCCTGCTATGTCAACAAGTCACCACAACAGCAGACACTATTACCAAAACAAACCATCCTGGGCCAGATTCCGTTCCTGAACTCCACCAAGACCGAGGTTTTCCAGACATTAAATCAAGACTGTCATGCAAATTGCTGTGCTATTGCACGCTTGACTGATAGACAGAAGTGAAGTCGCAAGCGTAGAAGAGCCATTGTGCAGCCCGAAGGACGCTGGAGTTCTCGCATGCTTGCCGTACTTCCCAATTGGAATGGCTTCGCAGTACATAGGAAGTGTGGTCAAGGGAAGGTGATGTAGTGGAAAGTGGGCTGTGGGGGGAATGACAAGTGACATAGAGGGAAGTGTATGTGAATGTGTACCATGGGTGGGTAGATAGGTGTTCGAGCAGCGACAGCTAGAATGGCATGGTTAAGTATTTCAGAATGAGGCTGCATTGGGTATGATGGAAGCTTACCACTGCTGGTGGGTTCAGCTGGTATGAATTCTTGTGGTAGAAATAATTTTTGTTTTGTTGTGGTTTGTTTTATGATTGTTCTGGTGTTGGTATGATGATAGTAGGTAAAGACCATGATGATGGTGGAGATGCATGATGATATATGAGTGTGGTAGTGGTAGCAGTAGATGCTAATGAATGTGGTGTGTGTGAATGTGTGTGGTGTGTGGGAGGGAAGAGGAATGGATTGAGAGGGAAGAGAGGGGGGGAGCCCTGGTTTTTATACCACCTGGGGGAAGAGAATTCCTGGCCCCACAATCAGTAACGGTCCAGCCATGCCTGATTTGGAATTCCGGGGTACTTGGAAAATCTGGGGTACAATGGAAAAGTACCGATTGGTTATTGGCTCAGCCCTACAGTAGAGCCGCATTTCCACCCGACAAACAAACATTTTCTGATTTTTTGATTGGCCCGCTGCTAGTAGATCACAGATCAGACCCACTTCCCAATTGTCCCCCCTCTATTGTGTAGGTACGTAGCTACGTAGACTTCCTATTGTTCCCATTGTTTCAACAATAGAAAAAAAAAATCAAAATCAGATTTCCACGGAACCAGATCAGGTTTTCCACGGAGCTCCATACCCAAGTACCCAGGTACCCAAGCAGGGGACCACTTCGTCATTGAATGCTACAATCACTCCCAGCCCGTGGCCTCCCCTCCCCCGGTATTTAATCCTGTGCACTACCTCCCACCCTTCCCACTTCCTCTCCTCTTCTTTTTTCTTTTCTTTCCTTTCCTCCTCAGCTCTCTTTGCCTTTTGGCTTAGATCATGTGTAGTATCTGTTCTTTTCAGTTTAATATCTGGAAGTGTCACATAGTGGCACCTTTCTTTTATTATTCCTATTTTTCTTCTTCGGATGGCTGCGTCCTCTGCACTTGTGCATGATCAGCTTTCACTGTGTCCCTGGTATTACACTGCCTCCAGGTGATGCGAATATTTACACTGCTTTCATTACCATCGCTAGCTTGTCTAGGTTGTAAAGAAGGTATCATATATTCACCATGTGGTGTCTGGCATCTGTGTTCTAGTACAATCCTACGATAGTAATCTATTCTAATTCAACCTGATCATAATATATATTCATGATTGATTTCATTCAGGCGCTTTTTATCTTTGGCCAGCCAAAATAACTTCGAGGGCCGTGTCGAGATGCCCTGAACAAGGCAGTTCAGCGCTCGTAAGAGACTCGAGAATACAATGCTTTATGGGATTCTGTAGTACATATCTAAGAAGCGACAGTGATCTACGTAATATTTTGTCAGTACGATGTTTCTAAAATGAATTCTCTCCGTGCAGCGTGCAAGTCCGTACCCCCCATCATCTCTAGAGTAGCATTCTCTCTACTAAAAATACAGAAAATAGCGAATACATCCTACCCAACGAGCTTCGATGACTGCCCTCGTTGTCCTGGAGAAAGACACGATGTAACCGGACCCTATATAATTAAGGTAGGTGTTCCAAGCGTTGTACAAGCATAGTTTGGTCTGGCTAAGGTCCTGTCGGGAGCTTGACTGTTAATTATTCTGCTTGCTGCGTGAAGATGTTGTCATATGAAGATGGCTTCGCATAGAACATGTCAACCGCAAAAGGAAGCTACATCGATGGATCAATAACTACTCTTAGCATTTATGTCTAAATTCTAGATCGCGTCTTCCATGCCCTGTCGAGCGTCGACGGGAATATTGGGCTATTATTTTACTATCATGGCCTTCCCAGCTACTTCCTCGGAGAAACATTGTGCTAAACATCAATCACTCTTCTCATTGAATAGAATGCAGTAAATCCCCTTGGAATAGGCGCTACGAGCTACAGGTGCATTTCAGCATTGACCTCTTGGATAACGAAGCCGCACTACGCAAAAGGTTTGATAACTCTGACTGACTGTTTTTGTACCTGCTACCTAGGTAACATTCATTGTCCTCTTAGCAAGGGAGGAGTAGTGGCGTCAATAGCGCCATCACGTTGGCAAGCCCTGGTTCCTTCATCGTCGCTACCCGTCCCATTTGACCCATTGAGGTCCATAGCCGAAGCAAGAAGCGCATCGAGCGAGCCATTATCGATGGGAACCTCCCATACCATGCTTACCTAGGCTGTCGCGGGGCGCCAAGAAGGAATGTAAGTGATCACGATGTTACCATGCAGAAGGGTAGATATAAACAACGACCTATGAAACGATTGAATATACCCGAAATAATTTATTTATCCTCTGAAAGATTCATACTAATATATATCTTGGGTATAGTTAACTAGTCCTCCTGACGCACACCCTGGCATCTTTATAGCCGACCTTATCAATATAGAGATCTAGCTTGGCCACACCGAGACCACGAAACTCTCTCAGTCGATTCCCTAGTAACCTAATCCCCACCGGGCTCTCCGACCAGATCGATTCTCTCCAGTCCGTGACCATAGCGTTCCAAGATCCTACCATATGCCACGGCCGACAACTAAGTGTCATCAGCTAGGAGCTCCTAGTGGAAACCATAATGACCTAGAATAACTGCAGCGGCTTTGTCCTGGGTTCGTGGCACTCGGGAAGTTTCTTGTAGGAAACTAGCAAGGTCACATATTCCCCTTGAGAGCGGGCATATAAGTTTGACTGTTTCAGGTTGAATGGACATCCTATACATTCATCGATTCAATAACCGTATTCCCACCTTCGTTAACATCCAAAGGGGATAGCACTCCTGTGTCTGTCCTCAAGAGCACCGCCCGCATGCTCCGGATAAGCAAGTCTGGAGAGGAGCGGGAGAGCTCATATTACTTCATCGGCACATCTGGATACTAGACATAACTATCCTAAGTTAATACTGTTCCAAATTATCCATGGTGACGACTTACCTACCTTATTGCGTGCCTGATATAATACTCCTCCCCCCTTTCTTTTTTTCCAAGCTCTCGTGGTAAGCCACTACCATTGGTTCTACCACGGGCCACAGCATGTGACTGGGCCAGTGCTGTAAGTTTCTCGTGCTATAATCTCGAGTCTCTAATGCACCCCTTTTCACTACGACCCCGAGCTTCGACTCGGTTGATACTCAGTGAAGGATAATCCCAGATTTTAATGCTTAGATCACAATGATAAAAGAGAGGATTCATAAATCTATATTTAAATCTCTATTCAATGTGTTCTATTTATATCGTGGATAGAAAAAAAAATTGAAACATGAAAATATACATGATTTGGAGTTCTCCGAATCAGGGAATCGAACCCTGGGCTCCGGAATGAGAATCCGGAATGTTAACCTCTACACCAATTCGGATATGAACGTTACACTCCTCCCTGGACTTATGGCTTGACAGTTGGTAATCAGGGGATCATGGGCAAACAGGAAGGTGTAACAGTGTAGGGAAGGATCTAGCCCAGGTACTTACTTTACTGGATGTTGACAGAAGCAGCTACCCGTAGGGACATATGTACGATGTACAGTGAGTACACACTAACACCTACATCAGGTGATTTAAGTGGTCGTACACACAACCTTGTTTGTCGATGGAGGCATTCCCTTGGGTATCTAAATCTTTAATAACATGTACCTTGAAATAATGGATGCATATACATGTTTAGCTTTTCTGTCATATTGAAGAGAAAGAATTGGTTCATTGATATTGTACTTAGAGATACAGTGATCAGTTGACATTTATATATATCAAATCTATGAGACAAGATCAAGGTTACATATAGTACTACCAAATAGTGACAAGACCTCAAATATCGACTAACTACTATGTAGTACAAAGTATATTATTAGTGGGTTAAAACAGAGGTGCCTAGGCATTACATAGAGTGTTTGCTGTTTACTCGTACAAGTTTCGGCGTATCACTCTTGTAGTCACCAAGAACTAATCACTCTGAAGTTTATGTACCGACCATAAAATGATTTTATATGATAAATTGGTGCATATCTATGATATACCTGTAAGTATAACTATAGAGGTATTCGGACCCACTCGGATAGTGCTGACCATCCGCCGCTCGCATAAGACTATCCGGGCTAACACATTACTGATCAATTGGGAGACATGGAGTCATTGTCAGAGGCTCATATTGGAATACTCATTTGGGCGAGCCATGATACTCACTTCTAGGGCAACATCATAATAGCTTCTGCTAATCACAGATATGAAAAACCACAGGTTGATGATGTGCATTCATGGCTGATACTCCGAATTTGTAAGCCGGCCTCGCTCTTTAGACTATAGAATGGATGCGCGGTACACGAACCCCGGTATATTCATGCACTAGACAGGGATAGTATAGCTAAGTAATAATCTATTCGGGCTAGCAGAGAACTCTATAGGCTGGGGTCAATTAGTGAGGTCATCGTATAAAGTCCGGATATGTCTCGCACGAATATAGCCTGACCGCTCAACGTCTACAGATTAGAGACACAACTAAATGGCCGAATTAGGCAATTTAGAGTGGGTGGGCATGAAGTCAGCACTCCGGGGTTTCGCGTTCGGATAAGGCGCATTGCCATCTTCAATATGCCGATCATCGTGGAGTATAGCAGCTAGCTCGCCTCGTACCAAGCGTACAGATCGGAGTAATACCGTTGCGCGAGCACCATACTATTAGAGTTGAACGAGTTTTGTTATGGTATATCCATTGCGAGTGTGATTGTCTATTCCCAAGGCATCACAAATTCGTGCACCGTCTTCTCTTAGCTAAGGAGGTCCCGCGCTCGGAAGACCGAGCTAGCATCGTCTGTCGGTGGAGTAGAAAAAGCGAATACCTAAGATGTAGTACATGTATAAGCCTAGGTATATATAAATAGTCAAGACGACTTCACATGGTGTAGACTGAATTATCTATCTTAATCAGACTTCATCACATAGAATACCTAGTTATACGATTTCAACAGACTAAAAACCTATACAAGAAAAACTAACAGCAACTCCATCATGCCTAAGCCCCATGTTCTCATCGTTGGCGCCGGCCTTGGCGGCCTGACTCTTGCTCAAGTTCTGCGGAAGCAAGGTGTCTCCTTCGAGATCTTCGAACGCGATCCGTCCGAAACGTCGAGAACCCAGGGATGGTCGCTCTCTATACATGCGTGAGTAAACATTAATACTTTATTATCAGATACCGCAGAATACCCAGTCATGTATGACTTCAGCTAATATGTCTTATCAGTGTCCTCGCAGACTTAGTAGCATCCGTTCCAGATGATATGCCCCCATTCCGGGAGTCCGTCAGTGCTTTGCATCCAATCAAACTGGAAGATCAGGTAGTATTCTACATAGACGGGGAGCGCTTTGGGGCTACGGATAGTTCGGAGAGACCTTTCGTACGAGCAAACCGCCAACGGCTGCGGTCCTGGCTGGCGACCAACATCGACGTCCAATGGGGCAAGCATCTGAACAAGGTCGAGCAGAGCGATGACAAAGTCACCCTATTCTTCCAGGACGGGTCCAGCGCATCGGGAGACGTACTCATAGGAGCTGACGGCACTAACAGTGTGGGTAAGTGCCAGTGTTCCCCCTTCCCCCCTTTCCTTCTTTTCACGTCAGACGTCTGCGGGCTGTTGATTCCAATACTAATAACCCTGCCAGTGAGAGAGAATATCCTTGGCAAAAGCAACAAAGACATCCTCAAATACATCCCCATCAGCACCATCACCGCCGAATCCATAATTCTTACCGGCGAGGCCTTCGCACGACAGCTCGAGGTAGCCCACAGCTTCACCTTCGTGAACATCGACGCGGACCGCATCATCGTGCAGGGGATCGTGCGCTCGCTCCCGGCGACCAGCGAGACCGAAGCGGGCGGGGAATTCCACTGGATCCTGATGTGGCGGGACCCGCTGATGCAGCACGTAGAGCGCAGCCCCGTCGACGCGCTGTCCGCGGCGCAGCGGCTGGAAATCGCCCGCTCCATGACCAAGTCCCTGCCCGAGCCGCTGACGCACCTCCTCCGGCACACGCGCCCGGAGCACGTCCGGCCGCACGGCTGGGCCGTGCGCGACGCCGTCATCGACGCCCTGCCCCTCTCGCGCGCCACGCTGCTCGGCGACGCCGCCCACCCCACCTCGCCCTTCCGCGGCGAGGGCGCCGTCAACGCCATCCGCGACGCCATGAACCTGGGCGCCGCGCTCGCCGACCTGAGCCGCCGCCACGAAGCGGGCACCCAGGCCGTGCGCGACGCGCTCGCGGAGTATCAGGCCGAGATGGTGCCCCGTGGCGTGAACGTCGTGTCCGGCGCGAGGGCCCAGTTCGGCTTCTTCCGCAACGAGTTCCAGAAGGTGCGCATCATGGGCCACCCGCCTGAGAAATTGCAGTGGGAGAAAGTGGAGGTTGGATCGGAGGGCGTGAAGGTCACGCCTTTGGAGGGTTAGATGAGTCGGGGATAAAATACGACTCTAGATATAATAGAATGCGATTCAGATTTCGGAGAAGAAAGATATTTAGGATATATGTGTCTACCAGTTCTTAGTGCAATAGATAGCAAGCGAGTCTTCGTATGCATTGGTTGTTATAGAAATCTGCATCTCATAAATTACCACCAAAGTCTTATCCGGGAGGTAGATGAAGAACAAGAGTGCTTCGTTGTCTAATGCAAATTATATGTACCTCTATCTTGCTAGTTTTGATCGTATGTTTCGTGTGCTACTAGTATTTCTCCTTATATGATTTTACATCAGAGGCTTTGAGGACCTCTTTAGCCGCAATCAAGTCAAGACAGCACTGTAAGATAATTTAACCGCCTTGTGGTGTTTGTTCCATATAAGGATCAATTCGAATCGTCGGACGATTCGGTATCCGACATCAATCTCTTCTGTCTCCTTCTCACTCCCACCGCGCGCCCCAGTATGTCCAGATCTAGGGCCACGGTCTTTCCGGCTTCATTATCAGCCATAGAAAGTTTCTTCGGATCTCTCAGTCCCCTGATGTACATTTCGTCCAGCACGTCGGCAAGCTCACCAGTATGCGCTTGCGTGTATGCGAGCCAGGGGTCGTGAACCTTGGAAAACTTGGTGCGACGGATGAAGACGGTCAGAATCCCGAAGAACAGCACCAAGTGTGCTCCCATCATACTACACACTGCCACAAGACCGTTCCAGCTAGTCGGGACCTGTACAGACTCCCAGAGAACGTAGGTCGAATTGCTGAAGGTGTTGAAGAACTGTAGGTTGTCGTAGTAATAGGACTGGTAAACAAGAGTCCAGAAGGCCTGGAGCGCTAACGCAGGGTCGCCAGGCGAGGCAAGTATATCCGTCAATATCTTTGTATACACTGGGTGGAAGTAGGCCACACCATCTGCGTATTCCGGTATGCAGCCTTCACACAGCTTGTATGTCATATGTCTGTCGTTGAAATACCTACCCATGGGGTTCCCTCCCAACGGCCGGGTCATTAAGGTCGAGCCGATCCATAGCTGACCCTTATCGCCTTCTGTTGGCTTCCCTGGTGGGATGTCAAAAGCTAGAACGCTCCTTTCAACAAGGGATGTTTTATTCTCAGTAGCGCCGAGCCAAAGCAAAAGGTTCGTTGAGTTTAAGGCCTTTGTATCATTGTCCGTAACCAATATCTTCTCGACGAGGGGCGCATTAGACCAGGCGTTGATGAGTTGATATTTTGGTTCAAGTATGGTAGAACATAGAGTGATTTGCCACGCATAAGGCCAGTTCCGGTATTTGATAAGCGTCCATGGCGGTTTGCTATTCGTATCTATAGTTATGTTGGATTTGCTATTAATCACCCACCAGTCTGTACTGTTAAGGTGCTGACTGGAAGCATTTCCACCCAGGGATAGTAAGTTGATAAACGCAAAAGCCCGTACTCCACCATAGGAGCACATGAAGCTTAAGTTTTCTATTCCTTGGTTAGACAAGGGCGGTGATAAGGGTGGCGAATAAATGGTGCATGATAGATTTGCGCCTGTTTCTCGTGAAGATTCTAGATATGGGCTGTACTGGGCACCAGTATTACTGCTATTCGAAAACCAATCAGCAAAATATCCATAGTAATCTTGTTCTCCATTCCCTCTGTCTACTTTGTAGCTGTCAGAAGCAACCCAGGCCTCGATTACAGCGTACCCAGGATTGTCAGACGCTCGAAAAGAGAGTTGGCGAATTATTGGCCTCACACACACAGTTGATGCGTCGATCACTGTGGCGTATCCGGTAAAGTTCCGCAGAGACTGGCGTTTCGCCTGTAGGCTTAGAGGCAAGAAAGCCCTCTTTACAAGGGAAGGATCTTGTTTTGGCATAGAAATGTTCTCGGCAAAAGGAGGATATCCTACTGGTGGCGCCGCAGAATA